TGCTTCCCTACAAGCAATTCAAATTATTTTTTTTTGTGCACTAATGATTTCATCAACTTTAATTTGCGCTTCAACACGATGGATGAGGTCAGCATATGAGCAAATTTTTCTTAACATTAAATATAAATAGAAGCGAACCCTCAAAAAAGTCATCTCTTGCCAATTATGGATCTACTTTCGAATTTGACGAGTTGGAATTAAAAATATCATTAATTAATCATTTAATGACTCTCTTTTAATCAGACAAGTCCAAAAGATGTGAAAGAAGAATTTCAAAATCCTTCGAATTGAGATGAATTGTTCAACAAATAATTTAACAAGCCTTTAAAAATAGTAGGAAAAACTTGACAAAGGATCATGTTAAAAGCTTTTGATATGTGCATGATGATTCTACAATGATCAACATGTTTACATGGGTTAAATGTCCAATCATTAGAATCAATTTTTGAAAAGTTTGAAGCCGTGTTAGAATAGGGTGTTGAAAGACAATCTCAACAAAAGGAGGAGACTCTTGAGAATTACACCAAGTTAAGAAATAACTTCTAGCCCTTATAAAAAGCTCTTCTTGCACTAGACATTATAACTCATCACAGATTACATGATATCGAGCTAAGTTTTCCAAATGTGTTGGAGGTTTACCGTTAATTTTGGCTACATTGGATGGAAGTGTAGAGCTAGCATTGTTTAAGAGGTTAGCTTCTTAAGGAGGAAATTCAACGTGTGGATAGGGTGCTAATTGTGTACTCTAATTGGAAGATTTTGACTATGCCCCTTCAATTTGCACTACCATCAGTTGTCAAGCCTCACGTAAAGGTCAGAGGATCTCAATTAAGATTGCTTTATTCTTCGTGCACGTTCTTCAAGTAATGCAAATGAGGTTCTTTAGCCAAATGATGTATAATGTTGGGAAATGAAGCTAAGGCTTGGCACCTGAATTTCAAGATTTTGCATCGGAATGGTGAGGATTAGAGATAGAAGCTCTTTTATTGCATTTGTTAGCTATTGAAGAAGTGCAAACTTCTATAAATGGAATTATGTTTCCCACATATGATGCCAAAATGTTGTGTTGGAAAATTTAAGGAAATAAAGTAGTGATTGATCATCTTAGTGTTGTACAAAACCTTAACACACCTATAAAAAAATATATTGCAGGAAGACACCAAAATTTTCACTAGGAAAAACTTAGAGAGGGAAGAAAGAAAGGACCTCACCTAATTCAAGTATTCTACTATATATTTGTAAGTACTTAGATACACCCTTCTCTCATGATAAAGAGAATGGAGCTACAATCATACACTGCAAACTACACTTGTCTTTATATAGCTCAAAAAATAAAAGTGTTAGGAAATCATAAAAAACTGTAGTCTGGCTATAATGTTTTTAAGCAGTGTTTGTCAGCGGCCAGTGGTCTTATAGGTGGTGACAGCGAGCAATGGTCGACGATAACCAAAGGCAACGAAAGCCGACGGTCAACGGTGTTTGGCAACAACAAAAGCTAGTGATTACTTGTTGGGTCTTTTTTTCATAACAGACTAAAATTTCACATCTCCGTCTATTATTCTCCTCCCTTCCAATTGAAGAGAGGGGGGCATATTTATAGCTTTTTAGGGCAGTGCATTTTTATATTTTGGAGTATAACTTCCCTAACTACCTAATCGAACGGTCAATGTTGACCTACCTTGATCATTGGTGGGTTTTTAAGAACCTTAGAATGAGTGAACTTATGAATTTGTACCTTGAACATTGGTGGATTTCTCTTGTCAAGAAGCTCGATTCGACTATAAGTATGTCCAATTTAGAGTTTATTTGATCATTCAACTGACGATTCAAAATCTTAAATTGTGCTTTAGCATCTTGTTCTTGGTTTGATTGTATACATATTAAACTAATTTTACAGTTGTTTGGTTCTTCTTGCCAAGATGTTCAATTTGAAGAAATTGGAGCTTGGATAATCATGAATTTGTATTTGAAATATTTCTTACTCAAATTACTTTGAGATTCATGTCAAATGACAAAATTTATTGACGGCCCCATCAATTATTATTATTATCTTATTTATTAGAAGATTCAAGTTATTTATTAAGTATTACAAAGAATATATTTTAATTTTAAAATTAACATATTAATTTCATATATTATCATAGGTGAAGTTTCTCCTTCTAAATTTTAAATTTTTTTTGTGAATTTTATTTGCTCTGTTCTGTACAACTTTATTAACTTCTTTATATCTTTGTTCTGTGCAATGTTTCTTTATCTCCAAATATCAATGCAAGCCGTTATACGAATATTATAGATTCACGTGAAAAGAAGATGATAAACGTATAACAGATATCCGTTGGGATCCAAGAGGCCGTGGCTATATTATTCGGCACGTTTGTAACGTATGAGCTAGGGGGTCATAATAAGGAGAGATTATTACGACTGTCGTCCGGATGCCGAGCTAAGTCCGGGCGACGGACCTTCACTGTATC